GAATTTCAGTTTTAATAAAAAAAAAAAATGGGGGTTCAAGGGGGGCTTTTCTCCCGGACCCCCAAAATTGGCTGAATGAAATTTCTCAGCCTTTGAATCAGTTTCTTCTCAAGGCAGAGGAAACACCAGACCAGGATTCTGTGCGATTTAGCTTTTTACGTCTTGGTTTAAGCATTGAATCAGGATTATAAATTCTAGCCTGCTTCCTTTATTCATTTGTTTGTTGGACTTAAAAGCTGCCGGAGGGCAACTGACTCTGAATAAAGAAGCAAAAGAGCCATATAAAGGGAGCAACAGGCGGGCCTCCACTAATTCTTTTTTCTTTTGGGATAAAAAAAACACATTTTTTTATCCTAAAAAAACAAACAAACCATTTCTGGGCTCCAGAAAAAGAGAAAAAGGGGCTTTTGGCGGTTCCTGGATAGGAGAAATCGGGCATATAAAGAAATACATGTATATATTCAGTGTGTGTGTGTGGGGGGGGAGATAGACCTGGCTGGATTCTCATCCCAACCCCCAAACTCATTTGTGGGTGGTTTTTTTTTGGGGGGGGGGAGAGAAAGGGATCCCAGATTCCAGACAGGAAGAGAGTTTGGATCCTGGGAAGAAAAGGAAGATGATGGGAATGACGGGAAGAAGAGGGAGATTTTATAAATCTGAGAGTCTAGAATAAATAAGGAGGATCCTAATGAACGAAATGAAAGGGGGGGTCCTGGCGTCCCCCTCCCAGGGAAGCCCCTCCTTTTTGCACTCACTTCTCCGACCAATCATACGCTCCGTCCTGGCCATCTGGTAGTTGTGTCGGCAGAAGGAATCCACTCGGCTCCTCCAGTAATGCATGAGGACCTTATCGCTGTTCCACCGGTCGGCAACCCCCTTCCCCAACTCCGTGACGGCCACGTATTTCCCGAGGTCGCTGTCGAAGCGGACGTACTCCTCCTGGTTGTAGAAGTACCTGTCCAGGAACCGCACCCGCCGCGTCCCGTTGGAGAAGAGGCACTCGCATTTCTGCTGGCAGAAGAAATGGGCTGCAGGGAGGAGGAGGGCCGTCAGAAGGGACGCCAGAGTCCATCGTTCCCAGCCACTAGCAAAGGAGGAACCCACTCGGGACGGGGAAGGGGCGGGGGACCTTCCGTGAGAGACTGGCGGAAGACGCCCCCTGGAGGAGGAGGGAGGGGGAACTTTCTCAGTCCCATGGGGGGAGGCAGACTTGCTGGGGGGTCTGGTGGGGGGAGGAAAGAGAGAGGGGGAGGGGAGGAACTTCCTGCAGGACCTCCTCCATCCTCCCCGGGTGGAAAAAGGCAGGCAGAAGCTCAACTGGTTGAGCAGATCTACTCTCTGCAGGGAACGTTGGATCTAAAGGGGGAGGAATTATGGGGGGAGGGGGTCTGAAGAAATCTTCCGAAACTTTCTGGGGTGGAGGGAAAGTAATATCCATACCCCCCCCACTCTCTCTTCCTTTGGGAGGGAATATGGGGAGGGGAAACAATGAGGACATCTGGACTGACACTCCTGGGGGTCCCCAGCCCTTCAACCCCCCACCTTCCCTGGTTCCCCCCAACTTTTCTCCCCCCCTAATCTTCAGCCCTATTACCTCCCTTTGGATGATTTGGGGGGATCGCAGCTGTTTCCTATCCCCCTCCCCAAAAGGCCCCCTGCAGCCCCCCCCGGAGCATCTCAAAGGGGGGGGTCTCTTAGCCCCTCTCAGAAAGGGGAGAGATTTGCGGAGTCAGTTTCAGAGGAGCAATTCAGACACACACCCCCAATCTTCTTCCCTCAGTTCCCCCCTCCCCTCCAGGTCCCGACTGAGCAATGGGGGATTATGGAGGGTGGGGAAGTCCTTGGTCTCCTCCCCAAATTTAGAGTCTCCCCCAGAAGGGACCGAAGCTCAACTCTTGCCGGACCTTCAAAGCCTCAAATTGGAGATTCAGAAGAAAAAGTGAAGTTTCCGAAGAAGCAAAAATACTTTTGCTAAAATGCATCTTTTTCTTTGTGTGGATCCAGGTCCGAAAATGCCTCAGTTTCCCTCTTTCGCTTTCGCTTTCCGCCTCCTTCCTCTTTCGATGCAGCCGACTCCGACCCAGATATTGGGGGGGTGGGGGGGAGGGGGAGCGAGGCTGCGACTTCCCACCTTGGCTATAAGGGGATCCCTCTACG